GAGCTCCAATAGTGCTCCTCAAGCCAATAGTCGCATATGGCGACTTTTTTTAAAATTTAAACATAATTAATATTTATTGAAACAAATTACATTGAATTTAACGCAGTGCTAACAAGTATCGAACCATTTCTCAAGTTAATCGACTCTCTTATAATACAAGGAGTGAGTTCCTGAAGGCATGGGCACAGGGATTACATGGATGTGCGAGGAATTTCGTTAGTTATGTTAAGATCTTACAGCATAATTGTTTGCGCAACTAGTTTTTACATCATTAAATCCGAATCATCATGAATTTGAAAAGTGTACGTATATAACTGTGATGATGTTGAAATGACATTTGATAATACGATTGATAATATACACTTGATAAGAACATTCTCTAAATCAATTGACAGCCAGTTATAGGCTATGGTTAAGGGATACTACTACATTGTTCTCGTAAATGACGTCAATAAATATTGCTTCTCAGCACATTTATCGTCTAATCACACATGAAAGTCTACTCGACAAAACATAATTCATAATAAAGTATATCAGTCACGATATCAGATATTTATAATAAAATACCATGATAATACACTATGTAAACTTGTTTAATGTCGACATTTTCCAACAGAATGATTGTAATTAATAGAACAAACGAGCTTACAGACAGTTGCAGGTCATCTTGTATTCTATTTTTGTTTTATCCAACATAATTTCCAATATAATTCGTTGCCAATAAGAACGTAGAGACACTGGAGTCGTTAGGTATTTACGTCTCATCCTTGAGACCTCACCGTGACACCTCAATTCAATTTCATTTAACTTTCGTTAATTTCATTCTGAACGATAGTCTTCCAAATACAAAAATACTGAAATTTTTTCTTAGTCCAGTTGTATACTGTTGTATAATGAATAAATTAATACTATTTCAATTTATTAACACCTCAATATTAACAATTAAGCCCTACATTCCATTCATAATTTCACTCAACATTTTGCCGTCAAGTTAAATGTTCCAACATTTTTACACTTACCTTAAGCAACTTTAGCATTTTATTTTCATGTACCATAGAGATTATTATGTATCCAATATGAATTTCTTCTGACTTATCTTATTCTCAATTGCACCTTACGAGTTAACAAAACACGCTCGCTCTCTTGCAAGGCCCAATGCACTCGCAGTACTACGTTTATCATCGTATCATCGTAGCTGCAGTGTTTCGTGCTTGAACAAACAGCTTTTCTTTCGCTCACTCTGTCTCGGTCTAGATTTCACTATTCTCTCGTTTCTTATGATTCGCCGCACCGGCTTCTGTATCAACCAATTCTCACGCGTACTCTCTCTCTTTTGCCTTTTTTTTAATTATGCGCGCGTGCTCTATCAGTCTTTTGGGATCGTAAGCCAGCGGTCGCTGCAATCCATAAATTACATACACATATATCTATCTATATATATATATATTTAGACGGCATGGCACTTATAATTAATTAGCAATGCTTCATTGCACTAATATTAACAGTGGACTAGCAGTAAATTTTACGTAGTTATTGATATATTGTAAATTTTATATAGTTGCTTGATTTATATTACATGTCAAACTTAAAATAAGTTTAGGGTAATTTTAGTTGCCAAAACTGATTTATTAGCGCTAGGCGAAATAAACGAAGATATATTTAACTTCATCAAGTTTCAAGAAGTATTTGATCGAATGTTAGGTCTTACAATTTCGTATGAACAATAATATAAATATATGTATATATAGAAATTGTCAGACATCTAAATTCTTCGAATGTTTGCTTGAATAGTAAGTTTTAATAAAAAATATCCTTAAAATTACTGATATTTGCTTGAGCATTAGACGATATATTGTTAATAAAACAATGATAAATAATAAATGACGAAATTGAATGAGAATTGCAATATTAATTAAAAGAAGCAATTAGAGATTCTGCGACGCCTTTATAATTAAATGTACATAGCGTATAAATAATATACATATTATACATACATTTATAGAATATTTAAATTATAATTTACCTGTAGTTGGACCTTCGGTTAAGAATTACTCTATACCAGTGATGACTAAGTCGTTTGTTTTCCTTTTTAAATATATTGTTATAAAGAGAAAGATATATAGAACATTCAATTTTTGTACCTTTTAATATAATGCGAAAGGATGGTTGGAAGAAGAGGCGTCTGATATTTATTAGCTTTATGTAATCTATAATCTTGTACACATTGTGTAAACAATGTAAAAGAACGTAATTAGGCTCGATCATTATCTTTTCTGATTTCCCTCCTACTACTCTATTTTCTATTATTAACTTTTTGAAAACTTATAGAAAGTATCGTTGAAGTGTGTGTGTGTGTGTGTGTGTGTGCGTGCGCGCGAGTGCGTTTATGTATGTATGTATGTATATATATAGGTATATAGAGACTAGAGATCGATTAAATGCAAGCAGTATAAAGTTTATGTAATGGTCTTCACTTCTTACGATGCTCATAAACCTTCTGTACAATGTATTTAATGTGTAAGTATCCATCGGCCAGAGTTTTCTCGATCATAGCAAAACGGAATACTCTATGGATCATTGCATAAAGTGGAAATTATATATTTAGATCCACGCCACACATTGATATGTGAATGCGTTTAGAGAGTGAAACTGCTCACGCTCGGCGAGAAATGCGAATTTCGATTCATCCCCGATTATGTAAAAAAAAAAACCTTTATTATGGTGATAATTTTATTATTACAATTATCTCGTAATTTTTATATGAAAAATAATATAATAACGATCACTACTAGCTTCCGTTTTTTGGTCGTGATGTAAATAGCGGTGTAAATGTTTATCTACGATGAACTGATGTGAGACGAAAAAGCGTACACATGTAATATTGTCTCTTTAAAAAAAAAAAAAAAGAAAAAGAAAAAAAAAACGGCAAAACACGATGAAAAAAAAAGTAAGAAAAAAACGGTGAATGGGTGAGTTTAATAATTATCTTCTTCTTTTCTTTTCATATAAAGTTATTACACGTTGAGCGTTATTACTATAATTGTTATAACAACAAATGCTCAGACTGTGTTTTTTCGCCAATATTTTAGACGAATCATTGGATAAGGAAATTTTTCATAGCATGAACAAACGCCGTACAAAATGTTTTTAAATAAGCCTTAAGCATTGTTAATAAATATAAACAAGCAATTTTATCACATTCGTTTATTTACTATTAAACGGAACTGAACATTGATGTGATTTGGAAGTTTATAAGATTTATAAAAAGTGTTTTCTAAAATTACAGCTATTGAATGTTTTATCAGTAGAGATAGATGAGAAGTTGTGTTTTTTTTTGTAGTTTTTTTTTTTTTTTTTTTTTTATGAAAGAGTATAATATAATTAATGTATAAACCTGAAAATTTTCAAATTTCTCAATTGTTCAAAATGGAATCCGCTAATAATTGCCATAGTGGTCTGAGAAGTAATTTGCTCGAATAAAGAAATTTATAAGATTATAGTGAAGTAGCTGAGATTATTTTATTTTTAACGAACCTTTATTTATTATCCTGCCAACATATTTTATACTCGTAGAAAATCACCTGAAATTTCATTAAATCATAAGCCGATAAGGTGAGGTATACAATTGATTAATGTTTGCTGAATATTTCATACAGAGTCGATATTACGATGAGAAAAAATAAATTTTCTAAAACTCGATGAAATTATCCACTTTACCGTGCAATTAGATTATTTTACCATTTAATAAAAGAAGCCAATGATTTCTTATATTCCCACGAAGTATTCAATCTTAAATCAGTCGATTAAATGAATGAAAATATTTTCTACAAAAATTTGACATATTAAAAATGTTTTTCATATATTGTCATATACTTTTTTCTTAAGATTATGCAATCAAAACTCTAATAAACTAACAATATGTGATAATAAAACTGTAAAATAATTCTGAAATCCACATTTTTTATATATAATACCAAATAATAGGAAGGATTGCAATCATTTTATCCACAAGCACGCAGTATTAAAATTAATTTTACAAATGTAGCACACAATTTTTCCAATATCATCGTAACGAAAAATATCATCCCAATCACTTTCACACATAGGATTTTGTCATAATAATTTTTGAGAAATAATAAAACAATAAGATAACAATAGAAAGAAAGGGAGAAAATATTTATCCAGATAGAATAATTTGGGATAATGATGAGACAATCACGAGTTCGTACGTACGCGTTTCAGTTTATTTATTAAATTAATCGTTACACAGATTATTGTGTATCTCGTACAGCGAGTTTGCATGTAATTGAGTAATGTAATATTGCCTATCTAGTAGTAATAGAATAGATTGGATCTTTTCTTTATCATTATGTAAATACAAGTTCTTTATTTCATGTTGTTCTTGATTTACTCTTATCTTTAAAAGTAATAATTAAAAGGAGAACAATAATAATTATAATAAAAGTAGTAATAGTATTTTGAATGATAATGGTTTATTAATGCAGACCATACGCCGCTTCATGCCACGTTTCTCTTTCATTTCTCTCTGGATATTCCATCATTGTCTTTCCTTCTTTTCATCGTGTATTATAGTTTCCCTCTTTTATTTTTGCCACCTTTATTTCTTACTCTTTTCCTGACGTATACACATAAATAATACATTTACTGTGTTAACGATAGAAAAAAGAAAAAAAAACAAAAAAAAAAACAAACAAAAAAAAGAACAAATGAAATCCTTTTTTCGTCGATGGTTTCCTCATATGCAATGTGTGTACATTATGTATAACAACAATGTATAAAAACAAAGTCGTGAGAAGTTTAAAGAGCGTAGCCGCATAAGAGGAAGAAATAAAATGATTATATTTTATTTGGGAACGGGAAGTGAGCGGCGAGAGCGCGAAACGTGCGTGAAATAGTATATATATATATATATATATATATATATATAATGTATATGTTTGTGTGCGTGCGTGTTTTTGTTTTTTAAATTTTTTCTTCTTTTTTTTTTTTTTTGGATGTAGGCGTGTAGCTGTTTACGTGTGATGGGTGTGCGTTTCTTTTTGCATGAGAGTGTCCGTATTCGTGTGCATGTTTGTTTATGTTTACGGGCGAGAAAGAAAAAAGCTTAGATGAGAGAAACTCGACGTGTAATATGCAATTTACGAGAAATTTTTGCTTTTCAAAGGCTTCGCTGCTGGCGCTCGACTGTTACACGGTTTCGCTGGCTTATACTCTTTTCACTGATATTCATCAATAAAATGCCTCCTTTTTATTAGAATATTGGTAAACAGGCATTTCTGCATTTGGATATCAGAGCCTTCGTCACCTCGAGATGTTGCTTGTGTCCGAATCCCTTAAATTCTTATTAATCGTTGTTTCTGCTCACTCTTCCTCGCCCAAAAAAGTTTCGTCTGTAAGGTAAAAGTTGGAGACTGCATTTCTTCATTTTATGTGAAATTCACGTTGCCCTCCCTTACCGCTACTATCTATCGCTCGTAATTTGCAATTTAATTATTCGAAAGACACGTAGCCACGACAAGACCTATCCAACGTCATTCAAACAACAGTGAAATTTTTATAGGTCTTGAACCAAGTTTCGTTGATCCTTATACGAATTCAATTCATACGACTCATAGACTTAGATTATTAGTTATTAGTAAATAACAAAATGGTAATTATCATTATATAATTACGTGCCTACGGATGAAAAATCAAAAAAGTTAAAGATAAAAAATTATATATATATATATATATATATATATATATATATTATCACTATATCCGACAATCCGACGCTCTCGAAAGTACAAACAACGTATCTCTATTAAAAGCTCACGAGCACAACCACGCGCCGTATAATAATAATAATAATAATAATAATAATAATAATAATAATATACGTCTTCACGTCGATTCATAATGTCTAAATGGCTCTCGACTACTCATGCTTACTCTTCGTGCGGATGGCGGATGGAAGCCGGTTAAAGCTCCTGCCTCGACTCCTGAACGAGGTAGACCTGGGAGCCCGGCACCGTGGACGTGGTGACGAAGCTGCGATGCTTGGCGCGTATGAGCGTGAGGTTGGACTCGGCGGTGTCGGCCCGGTCCTCCGCGGCCTCGAGCTCGCGTTGGAAACGGCGCACCCTTGTCACGCTCTGTTGGGACATGCCCTCCTGCTCCTGGAGCTGGCGCTTGTAGATGTTGACCTTCTGGCAGGCCTTGTCCAGAGACTCCTGTAACAGGGCGATGCTCTTCGAGTCCTCCTCGACTTGGATCATCACTTCCTTGATGTTGCGCTCCTTCTTACGCAGGATCTTGACCGTCTCCGCGTGTCGGCGCTTCTCCTCGTCGAGCTCCAGCTCGAGATCGCGGATCTGCAGGCAGGATAAACGGATTATCGAGTTATCGCGAATTATTAATATTACCTCGGGCAATCTTACCCTGGCCTCGAGCTTGCTGATTATACGCTTGCCGCCGACGATGGCGTTGGCCTCGACCTCCTCAAGCCGCACCGATAGATTCTTCACCTCGATCTCCAGGCTCTTCTTGATCGCCTCGATCTTCACGATGCGCTCCTGCTCCTCGTGCAGGATCTCGACGGTATGCTTGAGCTCGTTCTGGACTCTCTGGTAGCGCTCGTCGCTTACGCGTAGCTCTTTCGTCACCTCCTCGTAGTCGCCAGCGAGGGTCGACAGTTCCTGCTCGAGCTTGGCCTTGGTCGAAGCGATGTTCACGTTGATGGTCGTCAGCTCGTTGATGCGGCTGTGCGCCTCCTCGTACTGGAGCTCGACCGTCCTCTTGGCTCGAAGGGCCTGCGAAGGGTTCGATTATATCGCCACGGCGCTTTCATTCATTCGTTATGCCGATAAATAATATCGACCTCATCGCGTCACTAGATCCCGTACGATCGATCGGCTGGCCTTAGGACGTCTCGAACGAGGTCTGCGGCCTCTCAAACGAGCATACTACTAATTTTAAAGCGAGTACGACGTTAAATTTGAGACGCCTTCGATTTATCGGGAAATTCACGGAAATGCAGAAAAGTTGGGCGGCTCAGCTTTAATCGGGAAGCGATCTATTTGCGGATGCATTATTCATTGGATAAGAATTGCCGGTTGATTAATACTTACGGATTCGTAGTTACCGCGAATTTCTTCGAGCTCGGCAGTCAAGGATTGCAGGCGACGTTGGCTGATGCCCAACTGATCGAGCGTCACTTGCAGCTGGCGCTGTACCTCGTCGTAGTGAGCTTGCAATTCCTTTTTGCGAACCACACCAAATTCGCAATTAATTAATTATCGTAGAATTCGCAAGGTTTATATATGATTATGAAATTTTTTGCTCTTATTATCTTTTAGATAATGTCTTTTCATTGTCATTTTTTCATTTGTTATTAGAAATTTGTTTTTCATTTGTCCGGACAGTTAAATGCGTACGGTCGAGCGTAACATTGAAGTGAAAGTGGCCGAATTTTGCGTAAGGTAATTCAATGATAATTTCAAGGATAAAGATTTGTCGTGCTTGGGCTTACAGTCAAGGTAAGTGATTGCTTCTTGATGGTCTTCTGGAGGTCGATGTTGTTCTTGTTGGCGACATCGAGGGACAACTCGAGCTCCGTTATCTGGATCTGCAGCTTCTTCTTGACGCGCTGCACCTCCGACTTGAGTCTGACCTCGGCCTCGACAATGCGGGCATTTAGCTGCTCGATTTCGATGCTCGTCGCTTTGCTGCACAAAGCACAAGTCATGAACATTCGTACGTTACGTTATCTCGTGCCTTTATTGTCTAAACGTATTCGAGCATTCCCTATCCAAAGTCCAAACGACAAGGCAAAGTTTGACAATTTTCTTTTGACAAGTCGAGTGGAGAATACCAATGATAATATCATAATTTTAACATGACCGTGGGAGGGGGCGTGGGCTGGGGCCGGGGGAGGAGGACGAATAAAATTTCTATATTGAATAAATAAACAAAGTGTCATTATTTTGCCAGTATTATTACATCACCAAAATTATTGGAAGTAGGAGATAAAGATTATTTTGGTGCTCGTTAATGAAATTCGTAAGGACGTTGTATTTTTATGAACTTTTTATCGACGCTGAATGCAAATAATGATCGAATTACATGTATGTTGAGTATGTTAATGATTAACGAGCTGCGAATATCTTTTTGTTGAATAAACGTTGAATAAACGAACAAAAATAAGCTTTTTCAAAAAAAAAAAAATCTACAAAGTTTCAAGACAATCAGGTTTCGATACGTCAGATCAATAATCAATCGTCGTTAAAAATTCTTCAAACTTAATAACACGATAGCTACCAATACTATTTAATAATAATCATAATAATCATATCGATGATGATGATGATGATGATATTAATAATAATAATAATAATAATAATAATAATAATAATAATAATAATAATAATAATAATAATTAATAATAATAATAATAATTAATAATAATAATAATAATAATAATAATAATAATAATAATAATAATAATCATTGTCATTATCGGGAGCTTGTTGACTTTAATAGTGGCCATTCGTACCACTGGCATTCTCAAAATCTGGTCAATCGAGCTTGCAAATTCCGTAATAACGATGGAGCATTCCCAAACATTAACAATTTCCCTCTAATTATGCAATCGTTAATGCAAAAACGTTCCTAGCCAGCTCCAATCTTCATCCCTAGATCAATCCAATCGAGAGTCGAATTCCATCGTTAAAAACGACCGGGCCTCGTTCGATCCATAATCAAACCCGTAGTAGTAGGATTCGCCTCGGACACCGCCAATTCGCAAATGCGCAACGAGGATCATGGGATGAGCAGAAATGCAAAATGCAAGATGCACCGAGGGGAAGGCCAGCAATAGTGGCCACGCTGCAACAGCAAACCTCTTTTCCACGAAGAAGCCGCGACTCCGCTTCTCGTAGCTCTTCAACTCCTGGCTGAGCGCGAGAAGGGGCTCGGTGATCTTCTCCAAGTCCGTGAGATTCTTGGTCCTCTCGTCCATCAGCCCGTGATGCTCAGCCTCGTCGCGGACCGCGAGCATCGCCTCCCTATGGTACTTCCTCGAATCGGCGAGCTCCTCGCTCTTCGTCAGCTTCACCACCGCGCTCGTGTTCAGCTGGTACGCGATGCCCCTGGCCGACCTGCCGCGTAGGTGGATGCCCCGCTCCTGTCTCTCGCGCACCTCCTCCGTGGCCTGCACGTCACGCAGAGCCTGTCTCCGCAGCTCCGACATCTCGGGCTCCGGGGGCTCGCTCAGAGCGCGCCTCAGCACCAGCCGCGCCGACTCCTCCTCGAGCTTACCCGAGAACACCTCCTTGTAGACGCGCCTCGCCCTCACGCACTTGTGCCTGCTGAAGTCCGAGCGCTCGGCTACCTGCGCGCCCCCGACAACCACCAGCTTTATTTATGCTACGATCTTTAGAGTCGCGAGCGCGAGCCCAGGATCAGCCGCCACCGCGCCACCGCGACCGCGCCACCGCGTCATCGCCACCGTCGCTGCACCGCCACCGTCGCCCGCAAATCGGCCCGCGCCAATCCTTACCATACGTCATGTCGTTGAAAGCGCGCCATCCTGGCGATTCAGCGATCTCGTGACGGTGCAGCGAGTGACCTGCGAACGCCTCAACCTACTACCCTGTCGAATAAGCTCAACGATCTCCTCGGCGGAGCCCGACACGCTCGTACTTTTCGATTATTTCGACCGATCATTTGGCATGGGAGCGAGAATTTCGCCCGACCCACAGCCCGAGAGCCACTTTCTCCCTATTGCGTAACCGACCTTTGCCGTTGCATAATCGACTGCAACGACTCTTTTTTCTTTTTCCCGCAACGAAGTGCCATTAAAGGCTACCTCGAATCCGGCTGTTGCCTCGCTCACTCACTCTTTATTGGAAATAACATTGCCGTTCTTCTGCGTTATTAGGACAGGAGCTCAAGGATAATAAATTCTAGGAGCTCGAGATTTTGGAATTGAATGCTTCCGTACGCCGATGACACGATAATTATTACTGAACAGGTAGATTTTGCTAATTCTGTGGGGAACGGAGGTGTACGTATGGGGGATTGTCGAGTTGGGAAATAAGATTGTAATAAAATAAGAAAAGTAGGATTGAAGATATAGGGGGTGATAGTGTCATTTGGCTAGATTCAAGCTGGGAAATGAAAGAGCAAATAGTTAGCGAAGAGCGGCGCCGATAATTTCCCGTAGTCTTTCGTCGCGCTCGTCGATTAAATTCCACGAGAGCATTCGTCAACGTCGGTCGGCCGACGTAGCCAAAGAGCCAAGGCGTCATCCCGTCATCGAGGGATTTCAGCACCGCTTGGGAAATTAATGCCGCTCTGTCGGAGTCACGACGAGGCGTCGAAAGCCCAGCCAATCCTGATGGACTTGGGCTTGGCATACCCTTGGGTCCTGCAAACACGTCGTCGCCCCGGTAATACGACACCTGCTTGGCCAATTCGACGATGTCTATTGCCGATTCTCATCCCGTTGCAGCGTCCCACCGAGTGGTTCCCACCGAATGTCCGCGAATGTCTACTTACCTCGCTCGCCTCTTTCGCGCTACTGAATTAGAAAGGCGAGTGCGAAGGGGTCGGCAGACAGACGAGTCGGAGGAACATCGCCACGGTCCAATAATAGGCCCGATGTCGGGCGAAAATCATATGGGGCGAGTGCCGATTTGAGGCGGGAGCTTCATTTCTTTTTGTTCGTACTCGAACGATCTCATGGCGCTCGGGGCGAACGGGAGGATCCAGCAGCGAAATAAAAATAATCCCGAGAACGTGAGACCGAGATTGGCCGAAAACCTGATTTCCTTTATTTATCCGATTTGTCGGCTTGATAATTGGATAATTAACTCGGTAGTTTGGCTTGCGTTGGCGTCGACACCGTGCGCGACGCCCGTACATCGAGCGTGCAACAAAGAGCTCACGCAATGCCTCTATCAAGAGGATATTTATTATTAACTACTAA